TCAAAGCCACGATGGACATCTGCAGTGTGGAACTCGGGATCGAGCCAGCTCCAGTGGTAGCTTCTTTCTCCTCCAGAGGCCCTAATCCGAGTTCACCATATGTTATGAAGCCCGACGTGTTGGCGCCAGGTGTCAACATCCTTGCAGCATGGCCAGGGGATGTCGACTTCAAACTGCTCGAGTTCAATTTTATGTCAGGCACATCCATGGCCTGCGCGCACGTGTCCGGCCTGGCTGCTCTCTTGAAGGGAGCCCACCCCAAGTGGTCCGCAACCATGATCCGCTCCGCCATCATGACCACGGCTTATACCACAGCCAATGATGGCAAACCCATACTCAATAATGATGGGACAAAGTCCACAACCTCAGACATGGGTGCAGGTCACATTGACACGAATAAAGCCCTTGATCCAGGATTAGTCTACGATATCACCCCGCAAGATTATACTGTGGCTTTCATGTGCGCCTCAAAGTATACCGATTGCAGTGCTAGGCCATGGGATCTGAATTATCCAGCCATCTCTATTGATTTGCAGTCATTATTACATAATGATATCACGATTAAAAGGACCGTGACAAATGTTGGTGAAGCTGACGCTAGTTACGCCGTGAAGGTGACGAATCCAAGAGGGGTGAATCTGACAATAAATCCTACAACAATGTCTTTTACAAGCAAGGACGAAAAGCAAAACTACAGCGTGACTATAACCGCAACAGATTTGCCCAAACATATTACTACTGTCGAGGGAAAGATAGTTTGGTCGGATGGGAAGCGCCGGGTGGTGTCGCCTGTTGTTATTGTCAACACTCATAATTGACCACCTCGTATCATCATCACTATGTATCACGCATTATGCGGTATCCATTGTTTGAAGTTTGTCTCTCTATTTGTCTCTCTGTTAAACTTACATAAATATAACTACCTAAAGATACATATATATCCATGTATACCAATCATTTTATATTACATACTCACCTTCAATTTTGGTACATTACCAAACTGCAGAGAGGAGATTGTGATGTCTGGCGCTGAGATTACAAATAAGTAGCTATAAATATTGAAATTAAGAATACTATATTTCATGGTCCGTACAGAAAGGTTCAGTGGATATTATAACAATGATAAAAATTCTTTCGCACCTAAGATATATTAGTTTTAAGCACCTCACTAATAAATTAACTTTTCTCCCCCAAACAAGTGTAAACATAGTACACTATAAATTATACGATTGATAGGAATTATTCTTGTTATACGATAGATACGATTTTTACACATTCCGTAAGGAGTCTCAATTTTTTCTTTAGGTGCTATTTTATTCAAGATATCATTTGGTGTTAAAACAAACCCCCACATGTTTTGGGGTAATCCCGAATTTATCAACATGACATTCTTCATTTCTTTTAAAGTTCGGTTCTTGCGTTCTGCAACACCGTTCGACTGGGGAGAATAGGAGCTGTCGTTTGATGAATTATGCCATATTCAGAACATATTTGTTCAAAAGGAGCTACATACTCTCCACCCCTATCACTTCGGACTATTTTAATCCTTTTGCCGAGTTGATTTTTAACTTCGGTCTTGCAGTTTTCAAACGCTTCCACAGCCTCGTCTTTGCTTCTTAACAAATATAAGTAGCAAAACCTCGTGCAATCATCGATAAAAGTTATAAATATTTTTTACCCGTTCTTGTTTGCACAATTTTCAGATCACATACATCAGTATGGATTAAGCCTAATGGTTCAGTACTCCTTTCAACCGAGTGAAAAGGCAACTTAGCCATTTTGGCTTAAACACAAATTTCACATTTTTTATGTGATTCAGTTTTAGAAATAAGAATTAATTCTAAATTCATCAATCGTTTAATTGCATTTAGATTTACATGTCGTAATCTCATATGCCATAAATCATAGCACTCGACGGTATAAACAGAAATAAGCTTTTCATTATCATTTAAAAATGGTTACACGGCTCACGGCCATTACATTCATTTTGAACAAACTCTTGTTGAGATAGCCACGACTAAGGAATGTTCCAAACTTGCTAAGAACAAACTTCTTAGCATCAAACACCAGCCTAAATCCATGTTCAACAAGAAGTGATCCGAAGACCAAATTTTTGCGGATGTTTAGGACATGCAGAATATCCTTAAACTTCAACTCCTTTACAGAAGTTAGCTTCAACACCACTGTGTCAACTCCAGCCACATCAGGCGTGGAGGAGTTTCCCATGTGAAGTTTCCGACCATTAGAAGGAGTTTAATCAGAAAACAACTCCTTGTCGGAACACACATGACGAGTGGCACCAGTATCGATGTACCACTCCCTTGAGTTATGCACCATATTGGCATCAAACACAACAATCGACATATCAAAGTCGGTCAGTTCACCCTGCACAAGGTCGTGTTCAGCAACAAGGGCACTCGGTTGTGCCTTCTTTTGCCTAGCCTTCTTAGGCTTTCTGCAGTCCTTAGCCATATGGTTTGGCTTTCAACAGTTATGGCAAGTGCCAGTAAACTTCCAAACCTTGGCGGGCTGTTTCTTTTTGTTAAGAGACTTCGTCTTGCTCGAGTTTCCTTGCTCCAGCAAGTTCGCACGAGCCTCCATCATCGGGGCTTTTTTCGATGAATTACGGTTGTCTTCCTCAATGTGAAGACAAACAATCAGGTCTTCTAGACTCATTTCATTCCTCTTATGTTTGAAGTAGTTCTTTAAGTCTTTTCAACTCGGTGGCAACTTTACGATCACAACCGCAACTTGGAATGACTCACTCAGAGATATTTTTTTCAGCATGAATATCGTGCAAAATGAGTTGAAACTCTTGCATTTGAGACACAACGGTCTTCGGGTCGACCATCTTGAAGTCAAGAAACTTGCCGACGACGAATTTCTTCTCCCCGGCATCCTCAGTCTTGTACTTCTTCTCCAAAGCAGCCCAAAGCTCTTTGCCAGAACTAATAGAGTTGTACACGTTGTACAACTCGTTATTAAGTCCGTTCAGGACATAGTTACGGCAAAGGTAATCACCTTGCCCCCAAGCTTCGTACGCAGCGCGTAGTTCAATATTTGTTTCATTTTCAGTAATGACTGGAGGGTCGTCCTTTAGGTACTTTACTAAACCTAAAGTGGTTTGGTAGAAATGCATCTTCTGTTGCCATCTCTTGAAGTCAAGACCGCTGAATTTTTCAGGCTTCTCAGCAGTAGGAACATGAATAGCAAGTACAGTATGATGAACAACGTGGTTAATCGACTGATGGGTGTATAAACCATCTCTGTTGGATGCCATCAGTTCAGTAGGTCGAGATATTCGTCTTGCGATTGTTAGAATATTCTTGTGTCAGAAATACAAGGGAATCCTACGAACTGAAGTGTATTTTTCACTTCTTACAAATTATCAAAAAATAGAAAACAGTATAACTGAAAAATAAATAACAACTTGAAAAAAGGGAAAGATTTTAGTCGAGGTGAGTGAACTCTTTCTGCAAGACGAATACACCCCGTGTAGTGCTGACGGTTCAGGCGTAACGTCCCTAAAGATACAACGACGATCGTTTCGAAATCTGTAACACACCAGATTTACGAGCTCCGACGAACTAAAACGGGGTTGAGAATTGAGCACTAAAAAAATGTGAATAAAAATTATCTCTCTGATAATTTTTATCAATTTTTCTCACTAATATTTATATCCCTCAGCTATTTTATTAGACTGTCTTTCCCTTTCTTTTTCTCTATCTCTCTGGTTTTCTCCCTTTTCTTCCGTTCATTCCCTTCATCTCAGCACACATATTTATACTTGGTAAATTGCACACAAATTATTGTATGTAGTTGGCAATTTGGCCACCAAGTGGCGTTACGTGTTAAAATTAGCAAGTTGCCACCAATTGTGATTTCTTCAATCTTTTTTTTTTCAAACGATAAAATTCATAGAAAAAACAAACACATAATTGCAACCGGCTCACTAGCCGAATAAGGGAGGACTACACCCAAGGGTATCCTAGAACACAACACACAAAAAAACCACAAAAACAAAAACCCCACTAATGATAAATACATACTCCCCACGGGAGAATTCACACTCCTAAAGGCGGAGAAAAAAACACTAACACACACGAACAAACACTAACGCACACGTGTTTGTAGTATTTTTGGGCATGTGGTAACCGAGCTACCCGACTCGGGTCGTTC